TTAGAGACTAGTAGACAAAGACTTGGCCGTCAACCCCTGCTTCCTTCCACTTATTTTCGGTAGTTGTCTTTTCATTTTCCTAGAAAATTCAAAGACAAAGGGGATGGATGTGATCCATTGACACGGGTCACGCTCTAAATTATTGAACACCATGAATCACAATCGCTTCATATATTATTAAATTATTATAACAAACAAAGTTTTTCAGGTTTCTGCTTCAAAGTCAAAATCTGTAAAGCATGAGAATGACCAGCACTCGGGTTTTGCTCATCAATTTGCAATGGGACATGGAGACGTTTGTGGTGACAATCTAGACGTAGTTGATAGTTAATAATTGAGATTTTACTTATATAAAGATTTTATATATTTTATATATTTATTTAATTAAAGGTATTATTTTCTGAAAAATTACTTAAAATTATTATTTTAAAAAAATTTAATAAAAATATTATATTTTTAATTTTATCATTTAAAAATTAATTAAATTTCAACATTGAGTTGGCACGTAGGTTTTGTACGTGAGACTTCTCTAAATCGCTGAGTGTGAAGAAAATGAAAAGTGACTGCTGTGTTGGAGCCAACGACAACGTAGCAGTAGTATTGACACTACAATAAAAGTGTAGACACTTATGCATTAAATTTGCCACAACATGATCTCCTCATATTTGTTAATGCATGGTGTCAACACCAACAAAGGTGGTGTTGACATCCAACCTATCTTGGGAGTTTCAATAGAGTTTAGAAAAAGTTAATTAAAATTAGTGCCTAAAAAATTGACAAACAAATTCTAAAAATGATTGAAGTAGTGGGAAAAATCTCTGGAAAATAATTTATTGACAAATAAAATAATTTTGAATTATTTTTTTTTAAATTAGTGCAAAAATATTGTTATTTTAATTGTTCATAAGCTATTTTAGAGGGGTTCTTCCCATTATTTTCATCTTCTTTAGGATTTATTTGCTAATTTTTATGCATTAATTTTAATTGATTTTTCCTAAACTCCCTAGAAAGGGGAACCCACAACACGGGTTGGATGTCAACACCACCTTTGACGGTTTGTCGACACCGTGTGTTAACAATTTGAGGGACTTATGCGTTGTGAAATTTAATACATAAGTGTCCATACATATATTATGGTGTCAACACTTTTGTTACATTGTCCAAATTAATTCGAAGTCGGCCGCCACCCTTCATTTTTTTTTGGCAAGTCAGCATTTTAAGTGGGTCTCATAGACTTAATCTATTTGCTAATTCAGCATTGACATTCAATTAATTTTTAAATTATAAAATTAAAAAGATAGTATTTTAGGTTAGAAATTTTTAAAAAAATGTTAATTTTGATTAGTTTTTAAAAAAGTGATACCCTTAATTAGAAAATTTAAAAAAAATGATATTTTTATATGTATAAAATCTCATTAATAATTAATATTTGATATTAATTATTATCAAAGTTCAATTTATATGACCCGGTGAAGGACGAACTATCATGTTTTACTCATCTATATATGCAAATAGTGTATGGGGAAGTTTATATTAATATTTTAAAAAAAAATTGGTAGTTATTAGTTGATGTCTGATAGCTTATTGTTATTAAAATTTATAGTTTGTACAACTCATGAATGATCGGCTATCCTATTTTACTTATCTATTTGCAGTAGTGTATGGAGAAGTTTGTTTTAATAATTTAGATGAAATTAGTAATTGATAATTGATATTTAATAATTAATTGTTATTAAAGTTTATAATTTTAAATTTTTAACCTATTAATTAAAAAAAGTTAAAAATTGTTTTTAAACCCAGATTTATACATTTTGTGTCTTTAGGACAGCACAGGACAAGTAGTAATTATTGATTAATAATTACTATTTTTTGTTTTAAAAATGATGAAATTAATTTTGATTTAAATTATAGATGTCATGTATTAAATTCTGGTTAGTTTATTTTAAATTAAAATATAAAAATTATTTTTTAAAATTAAAATTTTTTATTTTTAAAGAAAAAATACTATAATAACTACTTAATTATTATTTTTTATCTTGTGCTCTAGACAAACCCTTTAAATCGATGATGTAAATATTTTTATTAAAAATATTTTTCTCTTTACAAATGGTTCAGTTTGGATGCGGAGGTCTACCTTTTTGTTCTCTTGTTCACGGGAGACTCAATTAGTTAAAAAAATTCCATTGCTTATTTTCAAAAATGAAATTAGTTAAAAAAATAAAAATCTTTAAAAGGTAAAGAGGGATAATGTATGATTCACACCTTCATCTCTCTTTTTATTTGATTTTTTTTTATATTTTTAAAAAATCTTATAAAATAATATTTGTTCGTAAAAAAATTGTAATTTTTTAATTTAAATGCTCAATTATAAAATCTTACTTTTTAATGCTTCTACCAAAAAAACATAATTATAAAACAATAACTCAATTTTAATGTTCCCAACCTCCCATGTCTCTGCACATTTCTTTCATATCTCAAGCTCCCGTACCTAGGCGCTATCGCCTTTCTCTCCTTTTCACTCTTTTCCTTTTTTTTTTTTTTTTTTTCTCTATTTCTTTTGAGGAGAGAGAGCATGAGAGGTTATGGAGGTTTTGGTGGGGGTGGGGGGGTTAAATGATGATGGTTGTGCGATAATTGGCTATTGATTTTGGGGGGTGAGGGAGAAGTGTAGTTAAAGGTGGTGAACAATGGGTATTCCTTGCCGACTTCGATCTTCATCTCAACTGTAGATAAAATGTATATTTAGTTTTTACGTTATCGTTTAAAAAATATTTTGGATAGAAGTATATAATTTTAAGTTTATAAATTTCATTTTTTTTGGATGATATACGGTGATAAAACCTATTACTTTCAATGATTTGATTTTAATAATTTAAAAATATTATTATTACATTACATGATGTAATAGATGGATTTAATATGGGATGAGAGGTTTAATTATTTTTTATATGAGTTATGGAAATACAAAAATTTATTATTTTTCTTATAAAATATTACATAATTTATGATTTGTAAATTATAAGTAAAAAGTAAAGATTTCAGCCATATTAATTTATTTTTATATACTCCCAATAATACCAACAACCTATATTAACAATAAATGAAAAAAGAAAAACATTAAACAGTAAAATTTGATTGTTTTAATCAAATTATTATTTTTTTATTATCTAATAATTTAACCGAATTTGAATTAAAAGATCCAATTCCAAATGGGAAGAGATTTTCTCGATTTTGAAATATTTATAAAGATTTTACATATATTTTATTTTTTAATTAAAAATATTATTTTTTAACTAATTAACATTATAACCTTTCGATTACTACTCTCTCAATTTTACTATTTAAAAATTAATTAAATATAAAACTAACAGATGAATTTCATATATGAGACCTACTTAAATTGCTGAAGTATTGAAAATACAACAGTGGCTACTAGCTTGGAAAAGTTGGACAATGTTGCGGAAGCGTGACACCACAATATCAGTGTTAATATTTAGGCACCAATATGGATTATTCAAATTCTTGATACATGGTGTCGACACTGAGAAGGGCAATGTCAGCACCCCACCCGTGTCGGGGTTTCAGGCTCCCTTGAAGATCTTTTTTAAAGATTTGTCTAATTTATTTTAAAAACACAAATTAATAATGTATTAAATATATTTTTTAATTATAAATTTATATAAAAATTAAAATTAAATTTTAATTTATTTATTATCCGATTTAATTCACCTAATATTAAAATTATTATCAATTTTTATATTTTTTATATGTATTTATAATAAAAAAACTCAAAAAAATATTTTTTTAATGGTAAATAGCATATCTGTGCTTTCTTTTTTTTATTTTATGAATACTTTGGTACTTAAAATGCAGATTCATTCATTAGGTCCATGATTGCAATCTTTCTTCTTGCAATTTAGTCTCTCAATTTTTTAAAAGTTTTCACTTAAGTTCAAAACTTTTCTTTATATTTAAAGTTTTTTTTAACAAGTAATGAAAATGATGTAAAATTTATGGAGAATGGTAAATTAAGGTGTAGGATTTATAAACTAGTTAAACTTAATAAAATATATTATATAAATTTAGTAAAATTAATATACTATTTAAATAAATCATATAAAATATTCTAAATAAAAATGTATAGCCTCGAATAAAAGTATCAAAATTTAAAACTATATAAATTAAACTTTCTTTAATAATATATACACCCACGCACTCGCAAAGGGATGGGTCAAGCTAGTGGGTCAGAAAATCTGCAACTTGTTGAAGAAGATCATGGATTTACTCGGGCTTGGCCTGCCATTTAAAGCTGTGAATACCCTTTTCAAGTATCATCAGTTTATTAATTGAATTTATTATTTTATAAATTTAATTATTTTAAATTATAAAATAAAAAATTTTAAATAAGAGAATAATTTCTTGCATCAAAGATCTTTTGTCATTTAAAAATTAATATTTTATAATTTAAAATAATTTTGAATTGTAAAATATATTTTTATTTTTTAATAGTTAGTGATTATTTACTTTATTTCTTAAAAATTAAAAAAAATTTCAAAATTATATTATTTTAATAAAATACTATAAAAAATAAAAAAATTTAATTCATATTTTAAAAATAAAATATTTTTTATAATTTTTTTAATAAAAATTTATTAAAATAATATAATTTTTAAATAATTTAAAAACTTTTTAAGATAAAACAGATACACATTATTTTTTATTTTTTATTTAATATAAATAGTATACTAACTAATACTATGCTAACTAATACTATGCTCGTACTCATTGACACAAAGTGGGCTTCTTGGACTCAATGAGCCAGGAAAAATAAATGGGCCTAACAGGCTATATACGTATCATTTGGACCGGATGACTGGATGAGGTGGATCTCTTCTATTCTCTTCTCTACGGCGGCGACTGGCGACTGGCGACTGGCTACTGGCTACCACCACCTTCATATTCACATCTATAAATTCAATTCCAATTAACCGCATTCGCCAATTTGTTTTTCGTCTTCTCTCAAGTCTCCACCGCGCCACTGTAAGTTGATACTGTTTCTTTCAAATTTTTACAGAAAATTCTCAATTCTTTTCTTCCTTTAGTGTCTTATCGCTGCTTTCATTATTATATATATTATAGGGTTAACCGTTGATACTCTACCGTTCGTCGGTGACGGCTTACCATTTTCTTTTTCGCCATAAGCCCTAGGTTAGGTCTGTATTTCAACTTCTTTTTGTTCTTGAGTTTCTGAGATTGGGTTTCTTTCCGATATAGGAGTGGCGCATCTGGGTGGTGGTGCAGAGGCACACGCCCATTTCAAGCAGTATGAGTATAGAGCTAACGGAACTATTAGACTTACAGCCTCTTCGTCTGACTGCTTTAAGGAATCCATCCTATGAAGCACTTTATCAGGATTTTAAGCATTTCAATCCTATCCAGACTCAGGTCTTTATTGTTCTTTATAACTCGGATGACAATGTTTTAGTGGCTGCTCCTACTGGCAGTGGGAAGACCATATGTTCTGAGTTTGCTATATTGATGAACCTTTAGAAAGTTCCTGACAGTATTATGCGTGTAGTTTATATTGCTCCTCTGGAAGCTATTGCCAAAGAGAGATACTGTGACAGGGTGAAGAAGTTCGGCGGAGGTCTCGGTTTGCAAGTGGTTGAATTAACTGGTGAAACAACAATGGATCTGAAGCTGCTTGAGAATGTTCAGATAATCAACAGAACTCCTGAGAAATGGGATGCTCTTTCTCGCTGTTGGGAAAAACGCCAGTATGTTCAGCAGGGTAGTCTTTTTATCATTGACGAGCTTCGCTTGATTGAAGGCCAATGTGGTCCCGTGTTAGAGGTCATTGTCTCTGGGATGACATATATTGCTAGTCAGGTTGAGAACAAGATCTGGATTGTGGCATTGTTGATTTCTCTTTTAAATGCCAAAGATCTTAGGGGATGGATAGGAGCCACCTCTCATGGTCTTTTCAATTTCCCTCTTGAAGTACGTCATGTGCCTCTGGAAATATATATTCAGGGTGTAGACATAGCCAATTTTGAAGCAAGGACGCAAGCAATGATGAAACCAACTTACACTGCAATTGTCCAGCATGCCAGAAGTGGAAGCCTGCTATTATATTTGTTCCTATAAGAAAGCATGTCAAACTCATTGCTGTGTATCTAATGACTGACTCTAGTGTGGAAAATGAGGAGAGTCCAGCTTTCCAGCTGCGGTCCCCTGAAGAATTGATGCCTTTTGTGGGAAAAAGCAGTGAACAAACGTTGAGAGAAACTCTATCATACGTAGTGGGCTATTTGCATGAGGATTTGAGCAGTCTAGATCAGGAAGTTGTATCAAAGCTTTTTGAAGCTGGGCTAGATCCAGTTATGAGCAGTTCACTGTGCTGGGGAGTGCCATTGTCTGCACACTTAGTGGTTGTAATAGAAATCGGTACTATGATGGAAAGGAAAATGCTCACACTAATTACTCTGTCACAAATCTATTGTAGATGATAGGTCATACCAATTGTTCTCTACTAGATAATTCTGAGAAATGTGTCATCCTCTGTTGTGCCCCTTATGAAGAGTACTACAAGAGGTTCTTGCCTGAAGCTTTTCCCATGGAAAGTCATTTGCACCATTTCTTATGTGATAACTTTAATGCAGAAGTTGTTGTTGGAGTTATTGAGAGCAAGCAAGATGCTGTGGATTATCTTACATGGACCTTCATGTATGGGAGGCTCACTCAAAATCCAAACTGCTATAATCTCCAGGGAGTAAGTCATAGGCATCTATCAGATCATCTTTCAGAACTTGTCGAGATCACATTAAGTTGGGTTTGTTTTTTTAAGTTAGAGGAATCTTAAGATCAAAGTGTGTTATATGTGCCAAACCCACTAGAGGAAGTGCTTTCATATGTACTGCTTGTAATTTCCAGATGCACCTATGCTGTGCCATTTTGTCTACAGAACTCGACATTCCAACCCATCCACACACCCTTAAGATCTTACCTGTGGTGCAATAGTCATCCAATGGGGACCATGGTTTTCAGTGTGGAGAGTGTAAGAGGAGGAGATCAGGGAGAGTGTACCACTGCACTGTCAGTGACTACCATCTACATGTTTGTGCTAAGACCGTGATTAATGAGCTCCAAGCCAATGGCGTCCAAGACGTAGAGAAGCCAAGCATGCTGGGTACTGCAACCAAGGTTGCTTCTAAGGTCGTGATAGAGTTTATCAGGGGGCTGATTGAGGGGCTTGGAGAAGGGGTTGAACAAGTTCTCATCCAAAGTGTGACCAGAGGAAGGCACCATGTAAAAGCATGATTTCTCTGTTACAAATTAATTCAGAGCTATTCGTGACATATTGCTGGATTAGTACCATTGAAATCGGTATCCATCCATTATTTATGTTGATAATACTTTGGTGGGAGCTTGTGGTACATATTTTATATGAAGAAGGGAGATGGCATGTCTACTTCGCCAAGCCTCATGCCAAAGACATATAAGATTGTACGTACGTTATGTTCTCTGTATATTTTGGCCATGGAAAAAAGAATAAGAAGTGTGTTTATAATTAAAGTAAGATTTGTTTGAGACTTCATATTTTCGAAAGAAAAACTTGCCCTTTTTGCCTTTTCTCTTGGACACATATATCTTAATTTTACTTAAAATGTATCAAAGTGGCAAGAGAAATTTTATATTCAAATGGTGGCAAGCCTTCTTATAAATATCTCACCATCACTTATGTTAGTAATTTTTTCACATTACTTGCCCTTTCTAGGCAAACCGAAAGAGGCAGCTAGTAATTTAACAAGACTAGCTAATCATATTTAATAGAGATCAGTTTCGACCTACTTACATCATACTTATTTAACAAATACCACACTTATAATATGATTACATAAAGAACCAAAAGAACTAAGTGGCAAGGAAAGGCTTCACAAATGCTTAGCATTTTTTAGGCAAATGCTGTAACTTTTCAGTAGATGCACTAGCTAGATGCCAACAGTTGACGTACGCTTGATAAATTTCAAATGTTGTGTGAAAAGTATAGGTCTCCATCTGCTCCATCTTGGTATTTGAAAATTCATAAAAAGTATATGATGAGGATTCTCTCCCTAACAAACACTCAGTCTCTTCATTCTCCTGTTGAACGCAAAAGTTGTCACCAAGCCTCTTCGACCTACCAAACTCCTTAGTGACTTCCTTCATGGTTGGCCTTCTTAGGCCAGTACCATTAAGGCATCTCTTCACGAGACCAGCAACTACTTCTACAGTTCTACTTTCTTCACATTATTTGGCCTTTCCATGTAAATAGGAGGCAACTAGTATTATATGCATTAAGTCCAGAAAAATCATATTTTGTAGACATTTTGACCTGCTTAAATCAAATTTAGCAAATACAACACTTACATAAACATAAAGAACCAAGAACCAAGTAGCAAGGAAAGCCTTCACAAATGCTCAGCATTTTTTAGGAAAATATCGTGACTAATCACATATGGAAGATTATAGTAGCAGGAAAGACTAGATGCTAAGAGTTGATGCCTGTTCAATGTCAAATGTTGTGTGCACAGTGTAGGTTTCCATTTGTTCCATCTTGGTATTTGATTCATAATTATATGATGAGGATTCTCCTAGCAAGCACTCAGCTTCTTTATTTTCCTCTTTAGCCCAAACGTTATCACTAAGCCTTTTTAGCCTTGCAAGCTCCTCGGCAACTTCCTTCATGGTTGGCCTTTTTAGGCTACTACCATTAAGGCATCTCTTCACAAGCTCAGCAACTTCTTCTACTTCCTTCATTTCCTCGTCATCGGCAGGCTCAAAATTCAAAACTTGGGCAATACGACCATCTTCAATAGATAAAATGAAATACTGAATAATGTTTCTCTTCTCCCCATCTCTAACGCCTGAAGTAGGCTTCTCCCCAGTCAACAGCTCCACCAAGACGACTCCAAAGCTATAAACATCACTCTTTGTTGTCAAATTACCAGTCATTAGGTACTCCGGATCCAAATATCCAAGTGTTCCTTGTATTTTGGAGCCAATTCCAGTTTGGTTTGGTGAGATGAGTACAGAAGCCCCAAAATCAGATACTTTGGCTGTGTAGTGATCGTCCAACAATACGTTCATTGATTTCACATCACCATGAATGATTGGTGGGTCTGCTAAAGAATGCAAATAGTCAAGTGCAAGCGCAATCTCTGCAGCAATCCTCAGACGATTCTTCCATGACCTTAAAACATGTGATCGCTTGTCATGGATATGATGGTAAAGGGTTCCATTTGAAATGAACTCATAAACCAACAATGGAACTTTGGTCTCCAAACATAAGCCTAAGAGCTTCACAACATTCTTATGGTTAACCTGAGAAACAATGCTAATTTCATGCTGAAATTCCTCGTTTATTCTTTCCTTGTCCACATCTTTGGCCTTCTTAACAGCAACTTCGATGTTGTCTGCTAAAACTGCCTTGTAAACTGAACCAAAGCCTCCTTCTCCAAGGAATTGACTAGTGTCATAGTTGTTGGTT